AACCCAAAAAAAAAAAAAAAAAACCCATATAAAAATGCATGGCACATGTTCATACTTACTTTTTATGTTATCTCCATCACTGCGATTCCACGTACTCAAAACAAAAATCATAGAAAAAGAAAAGGCATGCCACCTCAAGCTGTATTATAATCCCCGAAAATGAGAAGGACGATTTCACTTGGACATTTGTTCCAAAAACCAACAATATATAGGCACCAAGTAACATCTGCATATTAACAGACAAGATCAGAGATAGGCATGGTTTCTATAGAGGTAGCTGATCACTGATCAGAAGCCTCGTGCTTTATGCATCCCATTCCCATATCAAGGCCACATAAGGCCACTCCTCAAGTTTGCAAAGCTCCTACACCATAGAGGTTTCCGAATCACCTTTGTCAATACCAAATACAACCACAGACGCTTTCTTTAAATCTTTAGGCCACGACACCCATGACCGCTTGACAGACTCATTTTGAAACCATCCCAGATGGTCTCCCTCCTTCAGATTCAGATTCAACTCTCCATTAATCATAATTTCTTGGTTCCATTTCGTGCCCTCCTCGCAAAGCTTAATGATACTGCAACTTCCAACAATACCCCTCCTGTGACCAGCATTGTCTCAGATGGTTTCATGAGCTTCTCAATCACAGCTGCGGAAGAACTTGGACTTCCTATTGTGTTGTTCTTTCCTACTGCTTCTTGTGGCTTCATGGGCTTCAAGCATTACCGCGCTCTTGTGGAAAAAGGATTTACACCACTAAAGGGTAAAGGGAGGAGCCAGAAATTAATTAGTAATGTTCTGTTTTTTATTAACTAGTAACATTCTGTTTTTTTAGCTTAACTATAGTAACATTAATCTGTTTTCAATGTTGCAGAGAGTTGATGGAGGGGGAGAAGGGTGAGAAAATGAAGAATAAGGCTAAAGAGTAGAAGAAATTGTTTGGGCTCAAATTTGGCGCACCCAGGCCTAAAGAAGAAAGCCCACGACATTCCCAAGCCGACTGTTCCAAAGCTCTGAGCCCATCAACGCGATCCGACCCTTTAAATTAAACGGATCGAAACAAATAAACACGGCCCAAAACATTAAGAGGCTTGGGAACAATAGGAATCAGAAAAAACTTGGGCCTCGAAGAAATCCAAAATTAGGCTCAAAAGCAAACTAGACTCAAGCTGGCCTTCAAAACGGAACAGTCCCACGTGATCCCTGACTTGGAGGAGTCAATAATTTCGGCTGAAAACTGAAAATAGAACAGGAGCAGGTATAAAAGAAGAAAAAATCTAAAGTAGCTTGTTGCTAGAAGATTAGAACCCGCTTAGTTTATCTAAAGATATTCTGATATTTTGGAGGAATGCCATTTTCGAGGGTAAGCAGACTCTGTTTTTATAAAAAGAGATAAGCGGGAAACAGGAAGCTGTCCAAAAGCTGAGAGCCAGCCATCTCCAAAACTCCAGACTTTTTGCAGAAGCAGGTGGAATGGAAGAACAGGCAGGGCACTCCATCAAAAATACAGAAGTGGTCACCTCAGGAACTAATCGTTGAGTGTTTACTCGCCAGAAAATGGATAGAACCCCTGTTTATTTCATTTTAAAATTAAAAGATCTTTTGATTATTTGCCGCCCATTCTCAGAGGAACACTTCCTATATATACAAAAGAGGGTAAACAGAGCAACAATCAATCAATCAACCAACCAACCAAAACTCAGTCAAAAGACAAACACTCAAATGATCACTTGATCACAAAAATCCTAAACAAGTTCCAACAGACTTCGAGCCTGAAATATTCAAAAGCTTGCCAACAAGCTTGCAGAATCATCCTGTCTTCTCCCAGCAAAGACAAGTTTAAATCGCTACCTCTGGTTTGAATCCCAGTTCACTAGTCAACAATAACGAGATTTCTCTCGTTACAAATTTGGTTCAGTAAAAGCCAAGCTAAGCAGAGTTTCGAGTTTTCTCAAATATGAAAAACTCAACAAATTTGTGAAGAGCCCTGACTAAGCAGCACAGGTATTACAGCCCATTTCCAGCTCGAGTCCAG